ATTTAATAAACATTCTAACTGGCACAAACCTTTAGAATAGTTGTTTAATGAGGTAATTATAAATTTCCAGCTTTATGGAAATGTAATGAATCAAACTATCTATTAAATTTTTGTTCAAAGAAGTGTCTATGCATATAAATTATAATAAATCTCGTATAATTCTGGACTGCAATTAAAATCGTTTCGAAGTGTTCTATTATTGTTCAATGCTCAGTACATTTTTACATGTATCGCAATCGAATGTATTCATCGAAAAAAAAAAATTGAGCACACGGGATCTCATATTTATAATTTGTTTACCGTAGCACAAATTATATCGACATAGAGACTATGCTGAAGTTTGCCGTACATGCGTACGGCAAGCGTAAAATGCAGATAATCAATTTCGAAATGAGAAACAAAATTGAAAAAATACTTCAGTGTAACTTTCTAATAGCGTTATGAAATTTTAATTGACGTAGATCGATATGGTTGTCTATTAAAAGATAGATCGTGGTAGTGTATAGCTGAGATACCAACGATTTGAAAATACATCGAAACAATATACTATACAATGAGTTAAATAATAAAGTAGACAATCTGATTGGAAACATAATACGAGAATGATTGAAATATTTCTAAATTGAAACTGAAGATGGACTAGCCGTATAATATTTTACTACTATATCATACGTTAAATTACGATTATTCAACTGTCAGAAGTTTGATTGATAGGAAATGATGTACTTTTAAAGAGAACGTCTATATAATATTTGAAATGCCGACTAGGGGTGAAACGCGTATGTGTTAGAGTATGGAGTTTGATAGAGATTCAAGGGTTGTGTGAAATAGATGGAGAACGAACATGAACAGTAAAAATTGATCTCAAAAATATGATGTATATGTGTGTGTGTGTGTTTGTGTTTGCGAGGAAAAGTTATTTTTGGTGGTCATCAAAACCGCACACTTACCGTTCATAACCACACATTTTACATCGTTCAATACCGCACATATTTATTCTATTATTAAAAAGAGAAATCTGAAAAGTCGATAGTTCAAAACCGCACATATTTGGTTAACAGTTCCTTTCTCTCTGTACACTTTGCATGTACAGTTCACGTTGCCGGTTTCGTATGAGTCCTACACAAAATCGTATTATTTATCCTGGAACCTACTTGAGGTGATGTTACATAGCGAATCGGGAAATATTTCGTTTTTAGCTGTCCGAGCGAGTGAGTGACCCTGCTCGGTCTCGAGATGTTATGTTATTTTAGATAAATGTATACGTAATTGATATATATATACATATATAAACGTGTGTGGTATTGAACGGTTAAATTTGGCGAAAATATGTGGGATTAAAATATAAAAGTGTGCAGTTATGAAAGACGTCCGTTATTTTTTATTGAATACGAGTTTCTCCCAAATGAGTGAGAAATACAAGGTGAGAGATAAAAGAAAAAAACGAACAAAAAGGAAGCATAAATACTTGTGAGGGATACAATAAAAATATTGATTACACCGATTGTAAATGGCAACGGAGAAGAAAAATAGGTATACGACGTACATGTATGCGTCATTTTGCTTTCGTTAAAAAAATAGATTTTCGTTTATTTAACATGGCGCTTAAACATATTGCGCTCGATCCCGGAAGCATTGAGGTGGAACAAAACAAGTGTCGTGACGTTCTCTCATTCGATTGCCGTCTTACAAACAAGATGTGTATAGTATAATAATAATAATAATATTTACCTGAGATACAAATCTTAAAAGAATAACACTATTGTATTGTTATCCGTTTGGCTCGATACACCACGGAACAGTTGGTGGTGCGAATCATATCTGCATGGAGATAAGTGTTGCGAATAAAAAATAACGATTTGCAAAGGCGAAGACTTGCCAAAAGTGTAGTACGCGTACACGAGCGAGTAACCTCCAGGAGATCAATTGTAATTTTCATATATTTCGCGTATACGTAGCGCCTTTTGAAAACGATATGCGTTCGTCCCTCGAGAAAATTTCCCATCTCGTTTTGTGGTTTGCTTATTCATGACTTTGATAAAATAAAATATCGTCGAACACGGACATTTCACGCAGATATGGCCGTGGTGATTTTAAGAACTCCACTATAACATTGGTCATTTTTATGCCTTACGCGTTTCTTTTGAATTCGTGCACCTTCTCCTTTTTTGCCTTTTTCTTTTCTTTTCTTTTTCTCTTTTTTTTTTTCATTTATCCTATGCGTTGACAGATGGTGGACATAACGAGAACAAAGATGTTTATTCTATAGTAATACATTTTTTCGTATGAATTTTAATATTTATAAGATGCTCTTCATACGTGGTATAGGGAACACCGAATGAGTATCGCGTATGAATTAAAACGTATTTGAACATTAATTATGCATAGGACACATAAAACTCATATTAAAGAAATCATTTTTAAGAATTATCAGTTTATAATCAGTATATGATTATATACCTAAGTATATCTACAACAATATCAATAATAATTTTTTTTTTGATTATGAAAAATGCACCGTCTTCGTGATGTATATAAATGTGATTATTTTTTATTTTTTTTTTTTTTTTTTATTGAGTACTAATATACATATTATTATTATAGTGATTATATACGAATAGAGGAAAACAAGAAAAATCTGCACGTTTGCATATACCGCATTTCTAGTAAATATTTATTTCTTTGAATTCTTATAATAATATTAAAAATGTTAAATTACAACGAAATAAACTATACTTATCATCCCATAACTTTCTTATGAGCTTTAACCCTACTAACTATCTACGTGTTTGTCTTTCATAGACATTTTCACAAATTCAAATTTTTTTATTATAATATTACTAACTTATAAATTAAATTTAATTCGAATACTTTAGGACAAAAGTATGTTATAACTAATGACGAAAATATATTTTTATAACTCATCTGATATTATATTTAAAAAATATACATAATTTAAATTTAACTTACCTATGAATTAAATTATATTTTTAAATATGATTGCATTAAGCGCATTCACATACTTAAACTTGTATTTATTATATAATAATACTGCACCGTGCAGTCTGCACGTACATTTAAACCAAAGTTTGATGTCCAATAAATTCTATTCTGTCAACCAATTTAGAGTTCTTTACATTATTTTCTTGCATTTGCATTTTACTTCGATAACATATTCATATATATAAATATCAAGGGACATCATTTTGCGTGATATAAATTTACTTTTGAATTACTGTTGTTTATTTTGTGACATTCAATAAAAAGCGAGTCGAAGACATTTTTTAATACAATACTTGTTTTATTAGTGTTCTTTCCCCTATATTATTATGGTCGTATGCTTTTCACACATCTCTGTTCAACTTACAAAAACTATGCACGAATGGTTAACATTAGTTATTAAAACGTGATGTACACCTTGAACTTTCAACATTACTTTTAATACTATTAGGTACTTTTATCTACTTTAAAACTATTAGAGTGGTTCATATAATTGTATTTCATTACCTATAGTTGATACAATCATATCATATCTGAAACGATTTAAATAAAAACTAATTCATGCAAAGATAGTTTATAATTAATATCAATCAAATTTATCGATTAATTATTTTGAAAAGATACAGAATATATAAGATACATTTCAGATATCGTTTCTAAGTCGAAATTCATTGCGGACGAAAAAAACGTTGTAAAATTGTAATATTATTTTTTACGAAAATCCATAATAATTTGTTCTGCCCATCAAGTGAAATCAATAGGCCTAGTGAACATAGTACCTTTATACTTGATTTACACAGTTATTGGACTTTTTATTCATCTGTATAATATATTTTGTGTCATAACCTTTTCCATGATACTATTTGAACCGTATACGAGTTTGCAAAACGTGCATAACTATTTCGAATTCTTCGCAGTATATATAACAATGATATATTGACATATTATGTATGACCAATAATATATTATATCAAATCGTTTTCACAATTGGTTGGTGGACCGTCAATAAAATTAATTAAATATTCGCAAATAAAATCTGTGATAAATCAATCGCTTATATGTTACAATTCGCATCATGATTTATTACACTATCAAAATTCAAACAATTTTACACATGTAATAGCCGGATCACCATCCATAAATATTCTATTCGATATCATTATTTTAGTACTTGCTCCGTGGCTTATATTTTCACTTGGAAAATAAGTGGAACATTTTTCTGACCTAATGTGCCAAAAATTACTAGATTTTTTATTTCCTGTATTTCATCAAATTATAAATAATATGATGTATACAAATAAAATATAAACTTTTATTATATATTAATTATATTTATTTAGTAAACAAAATGAAGATTTTATTTAATAAAATAAATCAACTATTCTATTTATTAATATGCCTGATGTGACTTTTGCTATACTCTTGATAACATGCATTAATATTCGGTTCATAATTTTTAATTTTTATAAAACATATGCGTTGTTCATCCGTTAGTTGGTTATTTACATCAGATTTGATCAAATTGACATGCGAAAAGGGTGAATAAGCTGAAGAATATTTGACAAAATAGCTAATGCTAATATTTTTAAAATGTTTCATTGTAGACTTATCTATTATTAAAAATTAAATGTAATTATATGAATATTTTCATATGCGTCTCCTCATTATATTTTTGCATATTATTTTCAATCTGCGTGTCATAGATGTGTCATCCATGACCAAAGATATTAAATATTACAGTGACTATCTTAGAGTTTTTAAACTAAATTTTCATATCTTCGAATATATTACGTAGCCATCCGGCGTAAATTTTGATTCTACATTAAACATAAAGATTCATTCGAAGTTTTTTCGATTTGGCCTTTTATTTTTATATGATACAATTCCATTCTATCAGGTCTGTGAGATACATAATGTGTAACAATTATGATATTAATATTCAGTATAAAACTTTAAACTATTAGTTGCATGTATTGTACGAAGTGTAATTCAATTTCCAGGAGAAAAATATGAACCGGAAGAGTTTGTCACCGAACAATATAAGACTCGAATGAAACTTACAATCAAGTCGGTTACAACAGAAGATTATGGCACGTACAAATGTTTGTCTCGAAACGCACTTGGAGACACCGATGGAACGATAAAAGTATATCGTAAGTACAAATGTTTTTTAAATAGGTCATTATTGTTGCACACAATAATTTTAGCACTCGAGTTGGATGATATGTACATGCTTCTAAAATTTTACAAATTTTACTGAACATTTACGAGATATTTATTTATTGTACATGTGAATGAATAATAATGATCAATATAATTAGCTTAATTATGTCTATAGGTTATAATGGTTATTTCAAAAATGCCTATTAATTACATTTTTTCAAATCGTAAATAACTGCTTAAAAATAACATAATTACGTTCATACTTTAATAATTTACTAAATTTTAAGTTACTTCACACTTTTTATGGATGGTTGTTAAATGTATTAAAATACAAACAAGATTAAGCCTCGATTCCTAATGTTTAATAATAAACTATGCTATAAATCGTGTTTCAAATTTCAATAAAATAAAATTTATAAAGTAAACAAATATGACAGGGTTTTTTGTAATTTTGATAAAAAAAAAATAATTATAACATCGGATTTAAAAGAAAATTATTAATATTTACGCTATACTAAGCTAAAATATAGGTTAAAAAATTACAGAAATAAACTTAAAAGTTATAAATAATCAAAATATTCTATATTTTGAGGAGTATTAAAAGAAAAAAATTGCGATACTCTTTGGTCGGGTAAGATCAGTGCCCGGATGTTTAACATTTGTGGGCCCCTAGGCAATTAAAATTTTGGGTCCTACTAAATTATTTTTTATGTACATCTTTAACATTACTATCCAATAATTAAAATTAACAACTTTAAAAATAACCAACTATTATTAATGAATAAAATCATGTATTAAATTTTTATATTTGCAATACAAATTTATTTATTATTTTATTATTTTTATTTTTTTCGAAATAATTTAATTATTATTATTACAATTTTATATTATTACCTACAACTTTATATATATTATACTTCATGATGACTTTTGTCCCATAAATTCGTAAATAATATACAGGTATTATTAAATAGAAAAAAAATATAGTTTTCCGATTACACAGGGTCCCTTAATATGAACGAGGCCCTAAGGCGGGCGCCTACTTTGCCTAATGGGTAATCCGGCACTAGGTAAGATGTTGAGATGGCTGAATAGTATTACTGTACTGATTTTTCAAATTTAAAACCAATATAATATTACTCTCGAAAAATTAATTCTGAAAAGAAGGTGGATGCAGGTTTATAGTTCTAACAATTTGGTTTATTAGAAGATTTTTATTTTTAACAAGGTAGGTTGAACTTTAATTATTCTAAAATTTTTAAAAATAAAAAATAAAAGCATCTAAAATTCGGGAAAATTTAAAAATTTCAATTGTCTATAAACAACATAAACCTCAATAAAATAATATGAAACCATAAAATGTCATTAACTATATAATAGAAATTCGTTGAAATATTCAATTTCAATTAAATTAAATTTTTTACCATTTATGCATCATTTTTATTTATTTAAATAAATATCTCAAAAAATATACTTTGAAAATCATATGGTAATAATTTCATTCGGTGAAAATGTTATGTCTTTACGATTAATTTTTTTGAGTAACGATAAAAAAAAATTTCGATTTTGTCGGAAACTGGTATGCCATAAATATTGCCGCATTTCTATAGCTTTTAATTAGTTTTCCAAGATTATTAAAAGAACAGTCGGGAAATTTGTAAAAGGACTCTCGAAAATACTAAATAAACTTTATTTTCTAACTTTTACATTATATTTGATGATGATTGGAGCACTCTTTCTCGCTAAAATCATGTAGACAGACATAAAAAAAAAGATATCATAATAAAACCAATAAATTCCTCATTTCATTGAAAATATATAACTTTTATGTTTTAAATTTAATATTAATAAGTTTTTACAATAATTATACATAATAAGAAATATTGGTTAAATAATATTCAAAGATAATTAATTATATGTATTATATTTTTAATATTAATTTTAAAACATCAAAAGCGATAAACGTTTACTGGCAAAAACAAAAATTACAAAAATTATATTAATATTCATACTTATTGGATTTTTATTTTGCCATTAAATTACATTTCGTGTGCATGTCAAGGAAATCGTTGTATGATTTATCATTTGTCATAGCATTATTATTTGCACTACGATTACTAATTATTCAACACCCTATAGGTCTTAATCACGTAAACATATTTTTAATCGTTAAATCCATTTAAAAATTTGCATTTTATTTTGCTATTCATAACGACAATAAGTAATGATAATTTATTGGTTTAATTTAAAACAGTAAAATGTTTAATGAAAATAGTTATGTACTAAAATACGAGTAAGTACTTAAAGTGTTTTTGTAATAACATATTAATGTATTATTTCTATGTTTAAATATTACCCTATCTATTAAACTCGACTATGTTTTAAATTGATTTATGTAAAACTAAACTGTCAATACTAATTATGTTTATATAATATCAATGAAAACGTATACAAAAATTTTTTTTTTATAAGCCGAATCAAACATTTCTTTTGATTGAAAGACTATTAATTTATAAGTAGCTTATAGTAATACCTATATTCTATGCATTGCATCATCATGGATTTCATATATAAATTCAAAGTATTTTCATAAATTTTCTATTTTTTGAATGTGAATTGATAGTGTATTTTATCAAATCAATGTATTAATTCTGTATTCCTACTATTGATCAATTATGCATAAATCATAGAAAATAAATAAATTGAAATTAATATTTTTTTTTTTTTTAACAAAATTTTATATTACGCTATCTGTTACAATTAATGAACAATAAGCTTAAATGATAAAAATATAATAAAATAGACAGAAGAGACTGAGGGAAGAGACCACCCATCGGAGGTACTTCAGCATGAATATAAATTTAAGGTTTTAATCCTAAAAAAAAAAAAAAAACAAAAACAATAATAATAATAATAAGATAATAATAACGATACTGCAATGAGTACGTAATAGTTATAACTTATAAGATCATAGTATTAGTAATACATTTGAAATTAATATAAATTACTTATAATCATATAGCTAATTTTTAATAATTAATTTGAACATTGATATTTATTATAGTCAAAATATTATTGATTATTATAAGAATTAAAAGTAACAGTTACTTTTAATTTTTTAACTGGTACCATAGTTACTATGGTACCAGTTAAAAACTAGAAAATTATTTTTAGCATTTAATAAAAATTCAATTTTTTATTAATTGTTTTACCTATTCCAAAATGTATGAAAAATATTATATTGATATAACACACACATGTAACACACATGTATATATATATATATATATATACTATGTTGAAATATTTATGATTTATCAGAACATGATGGGAGCTCCTCTCAGTGAAAAAAGTATAAATTCTTTAAACTATAAATAGCTATTTCGGAATACTCGAAAGCTATAATGAGATATTATTAATTAAAATTAATTTTATTTCATTTTAAATACGTACAGAAATACGTATACAAGCGTTAATTTTCACTAAACCATTTGCAGTAACCATGTAATCCAATGGCAGTTGACATATTTCTTCGAATAAATTATTTATTTATTTATTAATTATTTATTGAGTATTATACTCAAACTTTTCACAGGATCAGTTACATGTTGGGATTATTTAACTTCGAGGAATGTTTTTAATTTTATTTTGCATCTAAAACTATATCCGTATTTTATAGAATGCACATATTATTATATGCATTATGTAACAATTATATTGTATATTTCAAGGCTTAGTTTTACATATAATGTTATATATTTTGAAACGTGTTTAACTTGAAATAATTTATATTCTATTTTGTTAATAGAAGTGGCTAATAACGGTGGACACAGCACAACACGTCCGAAACACAGATGTAAGTAACAACGATTATATTTATTATTCGAATACAATGTGCAAACTGTTCTGAAATAACAGTACGAAATACACATGTTTGTATATAAAGTTTTATTGAAATTTTTCTTTACGATTACAATTTTATTAAAATATTTAAAAAGATGAAAGTTAAAAAAAAAAGTTCTATTTTTAAAAATTCAATATTCTGATATTAAATGATGTTAAAAATTTTATATTATATTGTCAAAAAAAACAAAAAATATCACCAAGCCTATCAAGCATAAAACATTTTGTATTTGTTTGAGGCATTTGAAATTTTCCATGATATGTCCAAAGATGCTGGAAAGACACCTATGAACTGTTATTAGTAGTGGATAGGTTCACTCATATGACCGTTTAGAGTGTCACGATATTTTACAATTGATAATAATTATCGTACTAACAATTATTGTAAGATTTAATAGTTTTTATCAAAAAATAGTAGATTACGACGACAATAGTTGTTAATTGTTTTCCATCAATCTTCATCCAAGATAGTTGAATAGATAAATTTTATATTTTTATCTAGATAAATTTCTTTAGATAAATTTCAACGCTGTGTATGAACTAACATACAATTTTTATCCTAATAGCATAAGATTATTTGATTTTAAAAATAAAAATATAATAACTTATACGATATCAGACACAACGTGAAAAGTAAAATATTTATCGATTATTTTATAAGTACAAAAAAAAAAAGATAGTACAATAAAATGATTATTGAAACAACGTGTATTCTCTAAAAAGACATTTAAACGGATTTGATGATGAAATATTGTTTTACATATTTATTGTAGTTTAACCAATACGGATACAGCTTTTAAGTATGTAATGATTATATAATCATAGTTATAAAAACAATAACAACATAAAAATCTTTATTGATGTATAAATTATACGGAGAAAAAAAAACGAATACTTCTAATGTTCGTTAAAAATGAAAAGTAAACAAAATATAAACCTTTTTGACCGTACCAAAGACAATGAAAAAGGAATTTAAGTGCCTTGTATAGTGTCTTGTTTCGCGTATTTTTTTTTTTTTTACAATTGTTTTCGCCATGTAGAGGTATCCACGTAAAAGCACATGTTTGCTTTTATATACTTATTATTGTTGAAACATAATACAAGAAAAATAACGATGCTTTCATTGGCATACAAGTCATACAACACGAGAAAAAGGAGTAAATTTGAATACATGCAAATACGAGTTCGCATTTATTTATGTATATATATATACTATTTGATAACTGTTCCTAAACACACGGAATGGATTGTTGTTATTTTCTGTCATAAAATCCGTATTGATCAAATAGCCATAGGATAACCATTTGGCGATGGAGCGATATCATAGTTTTATACTAGAAAGCTTTTAAAAAAAAAACCCCCATCTGTTTGGCAATACGTTGGAACACAAATCTGTTTTTTAGTCTGAAATTAAGAGAATATGTTCCCTAATTAAAAAAAAATAGTTATATTTAAACATGATTTTCAGTTAATTTGGAATGTTTTTACGAAATCCGTAAATGAAAAATTCACTTTATTATTGAACCTTCTCTACATTGTTACAAGTTTAGATGACGTTAAATTTGCTATGGAGTCTCATAGTATCTCTTTAACCGAGTTAGATTACCACACGGTAGTTGTAAATAATTTATATACAATCGATGTACCTATGTGAGTGTATAATAAAAAATAGTTTAGGTGAGAAAGTGAGGTGGGAGCATATATTGATGATTTCTATTGTTTCGTTCATACACGTACAAAACAAAACGATTGAGTTTTGAATATAACTTTTGTTTTGAAAATGAGGAGGTAAGGGTAGTTTAATAAAACATTTTGGTAGTCTCAGTCGTTTCCAATGCAATCATATATGGTTTTTAGATGCATTTCGTAGGCAGGAAGCAATTCGTCATGTATGTGTAAAGGAGTAAGTGAGAAAATGAAGGATTGACCTTTGGGCAATTGAGAGACTTTTGCTGGAAATAACTCCCGGTTTATTGCTAAGCATTTTTAATTTTCTCATGAAACTTGCAAGTCACTACGTGGTAGTGGTGAGATTAAATGGTATGTCTAAAATTTTTTGGTGCCTGACTGCCATAAGCCATGATATTTTTTCACATTTTTTTAATTAAGACCATTTTTGGTCCAATACAACTCTACTACCGTAAAATACATTATGTTATTTAATTTAAATATCACATGGTAATATTAAGCACAAGGGACGAGATATCGCGTATTTTTTCAAATTAATTAATTTTTATATTCAAGAACAGATGTATTGATATCTTTATAGATTAAAATAAAAAAATGAACAGTACACAATAATCAATTATTGAAGACATTAGTTTGAGCATAATAAAAATAAATATTTTATATTAAATAGTCAGTTAATGTTTATCATAATATATGTAATTGAATAGATTATGGATTGTATACCTACTTTATAAAAATATTATTACATTAATAAAAAGATAACTTCAGATAGTTGTATTTCAGTTAAAACTGTGAGACTTTATTTTATTTTCTATTTAAAGGCATATATCTACATTTTGTAGAATGCACTATAGAGCATACTATAGCCGTTAAGTGCCCTATCTCCCAACCACTTACTTAACTTATCCTTATAACTAATTTTTTTCTTACTAATGAGTTAATGGCATTTAAAAATATTTTATATATTACTTATTAAAATTCTAATTTCTTATTAATTTTTAAAGAAACAAAAATTATATCATTCATTATCATTCCTATATCATTCCTTTGGCAATTGTAAATTCCGTCCTAAGTGAACAGGTAAAAATAAGATGTATGGTAAATGTCGTCAAGAAAAAACAGCAAGTAAAATATAGTACACGTAAATTCTGACCGGAAAAATATATAGGTACAAAAATTATTTTAAAAATTCCACACACCCGGAAAAAAAAAACATTTTTTAGAGCCCAAAGTGGTTTTAGATTACTTTGAAGTTTTTTTAATAAGTTCAAAGCCAAATGACCGTAGATTAACACAAAAGTAATGACAACATTTTCCCTCCAAATGTATTTGAGCTGTTTGTAGCAACAGATATGAACAGAAATATCAATGCTGCTAAGTCATTTAATTCCTATTTTAATATAAACTATTCTCATATTTTTATATTTTAAGGCAAATTTAAGCAAATTCAAATGAAAAATAACATAAAAATAAATAGTATAAATGAACCATATAAATATAGAAATTCAAAATCAAAGAAAATAAAATATACATGCAAAATATAATTAGAAAATATAAAAATAATGAACTCTTTATTGATGATAATGTAGAAAACATTACTTATTTTAAGATATTTTTAAAAATAAATAATTTACGTTTTATGTAAAATATATATTTATAAATTATGTTAGTCATTATGTGTTTATTAAGTATAGATTTTTTTGGCCGGAATCGACAATGGTTACATGTACCATTTTTACTCGTAGTTTATTTCGGACGAAATTTACATATACCTTATTTTACTTACAGTTAATTTGTGGAGGGATTAACCATTTTTGGGCAAATTTTTTGGTCCCAACGTGAACCTGTTCACTGGAGCCTATTACCTTTTCGAAGAAATTAACAACAATAATACATACACACACACACACACACACACTTACGTATATATATTATTTCTATCATAATCTTAGTTTTGTTCTAAAAATCATTAATAATTTATACACATATCTGATATTAGTGGTTTTAGTTAACTGTAATAGCACATACTTAAACTATAGCTATTTGAATATTATAATCCGTGGTGTAAGCGAAATTGGTTATGGACATCATAATAATCTTACACCACCATTTCGTGTATACTTAAAACGTATCCCAAATGTTAATATTTAAATAGTATTGTCTCGCGGGTGGTTAATTAAAGTCTAAAAGTTTAACAACTTTTACTTATTAGTTCAGATTTAGTATAGTTTTTTTGATAAAGAGGATATTATTTCTAGATGGACATTTGATGAACAACACCAAAATATCTATACACAGATTAAATAAAAAATTAATAAAAATTAATTGATGTGTAATGTAGATAAATATTTTCCATGTCAAGTGTCACGTTTTCTACTTGTTCTACATTAAAAAGTATATATTTTAAATACTTTTGAGTGTGTAACAAGTTTTAATATCACAAATTTATGAAAAATTCAAGTCTATTAATTACATAATTAAATATGGCTACTATAATTTAGGTGTTAAACTATATCAAATAAGTATTTTATAAAATAAAATATATAGTTACCTAAATTAATACCTAATCAATACATTAAATATTTACACGGTCATAGCATATAATTCTAATTTATAATCAAAGTGTAAATTATATCCCAATAAATTTATAACGTTGTTATTTCCTTTTGATCAATTATTGTAATAACTGACCTGATGAGGATTTAACGGAAACATTAGATTATGTTATAAATAGACACAGTCTGTTTTGTGTGATCTTCTAGTATTTGAACGTTCTAGGTATTATTTGATCAAATTATCAATCTTGTAATTTTGGTTTTTGATAACGTTCACATCATTTGTACGTTTCATATTCTATCAGTGAACGTGATAAATGCATATATGTGATATTAAATTAAATATTAAATAATTTCAAAATTGATATACAGCAAAACTATTATTATAGATGTATTAACTGTGAAAATATATCTAACAGCGCGTAGCCATGCAGAAGATAAAAACAAAATCGGCCATTTACCAAACGTCAAATATTGGAATATTAAATTAAATATTGTAATTTGTATAATTTAATTTAATTATTGTAATATTTATAATTAAATATTGTCAAATCATTAAATTTTGTTCAAAATTAAAACTCAATAATTTGAGTGTACAAATAGTGTTAACTTATTTTTCCTATTTAAATAAATTTTGTATTCAATATCACATAATATAAATATATATTTTAAAAATACATAGAAAATATTTATTCCAAATGTTTTCAAT